AAATCACTACAGATCCTGAAGAAATTCAGAAGATCGGCAACACCTAATTTGAAAATCTTTACTCTCACAGGGTGGAAAACACAGAGGAAATGGACAGACTTCTACATACATATGAATTACCAAAGCTGAATGAAGATATACAAATCCTGAATAACTCAATATCAGCCAGTGAAATTGAAAATGTAATTAAAATCTTGCCAATGAAGAAGAGCCAGGGTCCTGATGGATTGACCGCTGAATTTTCCCAATTTTGGGAAAATTTAACGCCAATTCTTCTCAAATTATTTAATGAAATTGAAAGGGAAGAAATTCTCCCCAACTCATTCCTGGAGGCAAGTATTATCCTGATACCAAAACCAGAGAAAGACCCAACCAAGAAAGAGAACTACAGTCCAATCTCCCTAATGAATATAGATGCAAAAATTCTCAATAAAATACTAGCAAACAGAATACAACAAGTCATCAATAAGATTATACACCATGACTAAGTGGGATTCATACCAGGAATGCAGGGACGGTTCAATATATGCAAATCAATCAATGTATTATACCATGTCAATAGAGCCAAGGACAAAAATCACTTGATCATCTCCATTGATACAGAAAAAGCCTTTAATAAAGTCCAACACTTATTCATGTTGAAAACCCTACAGAAAATAGGAATAGATGGCCTTTACCTCAAGCTGACCAAAGCCATCTATGATAAACCAACAGCTAACATCATACCAAACTGTCAAAAATTGAAAGCTTTCACTTTAAAATCAGGAACAAGACAAGGATGTCCACTGTCACCACTCCTATTCAATATAGTTCAGGAAATACTGGCTGGAGCAATTAGACAAGAGAGAGAAATGAAAGGAATAAGGATAGGAAAGGAAGAAGTGAAAATGTCATTATTTGAAGATGACATGATACTCTACAGAGAAGACCCCAAAAACTCCACCAAAAGGCTCATGGATTTAACAACCAAATTCAGTAGCATAGCTGGATATAAAGTTAACACTCAAAAGTTAATAGCATTCCTGTACGCAAGTAACAAAGAGACTGAGAGAGAAATTAGGAAAACCACACCTTTCACAATAGCATCTAAAAAGATGAAATACTTAGG